CAGCCTGTCAGCTGCTCCGGCTTCCGGCTTCTCTGCCAGCTGGTGAAACACACAGATCCTATTTTTAGCTCAGGGCTGTCTGATGTGTTACTGTTGAAAGACATCAGTAGCAGCTGCAACATAAATCGTGATTTAAAGGTCCTGTTTCTCACAGGGATGAAACTTCTCCACAAAATGAAAGAAGGCAGCCTTTAGTAGGCAGACCGCTCAGGTCTCATCCAACGCAAGGCTGGGCTCACTTCTTTCCACTGAGTCCTGTGTCTCTGTGTGCAAACACATGTGTGCGTCCCCATGTGCCTTTTGATCCCTTTCTCCTCCTAGTTGGTACAGCCAGGGAAGGAGGAGGAGGGTCCCTGAGTGAAGGAAAATTCCAGAGCAGCAGCTGGCACCAGGATCCTTCACGGTCCACTTGCAGAGATTCTGTTCAGATCAGTTCAGATGGTGTATATTATAGAAGAAAACGGTAGAATTTTTACACCCTTCATACCCCCTAGGGTGGGGCCAGACCCCTGTAACAACAGATGTGGTAACAGGAGCAGAGCACACCAGAGCGCCATACCCTGTGAAGCCCACGTGTACAGGACAGAGAAGTGCTCACAGCTCACAGAGGCAGTTGAGACTCTGGCTTCTGACTCAGCCTTCTGCACAGGCCAAGGGGTGCACAGGCTACATGGACAAGGCCAGCAGGTGTGAGGTTTGCGTGGCTGCTTCTCCAGATTCTGTCTCACTCTCCCCGGGCAGAGAAGATACCTGTCGGGAGAATTCCCATAGAGCTGCCAGTTCCCACACAAAAGAGGGCAGCTCCTTTGTGCCCAGAGCTCCTTCAGGTATCTGAGTTTCTCAAAACAATCAATATAGCTTTTCTGCCAGAGGCAGATCTGGGTGTGGCATGTTCTGGTCTTCTACAGTGCAGAGTACCCCAGCCCCCCCCCCCACAATCCCTTGGCCGTCATGAACATCACCACCACCATCCTTGTGGCAGGAACAGACTGTATTGGGGATTCCCTGCAGCAAGGTGGGCACTGGCTTAGACGCTCATCTTCTAGTTTGGACCACCTCGGCAGCTGGCTCTGTGAGTGTGAGATGCTTTCTTTACCTTTACCACCGTGCATTGCGGCATAAATGTGACTTGGTGCTTATCTTTTGGTCCATGTTTATGTATAAGTTTGAATGTCTCCTCCTCCTCAGGGGCAGGAGCCTGTTTGTATCATGCACGATTGTACACACACACACACACACACACACACACACACACACACACACACACACACACACGTAATAACTTCTGGGATAAACTAAAGAAATATTCTGTAGGTGCCCTTTGGCATCGCCCTAGTCAGTGTTCTGTTGCTGTGAAGAGACACCATGACCAAGGCAACTCTTATAAAGGAAAACATTTAATTTGGGCTGGTTTACAATTCAGAGGTTAGTCCATATCGCCATGGTAGGAAAGGTGGATGGCAGCATGTGGGCAGACAGGGTATCCTAGAGTTTTCCGTCCAGATGCACAGGCAGCAGGAAGAGAAGGGAGCCCCCGGGCCTGACTTGGGCTTTTGGAAATTTCAAAGCCCGCTGCCCGTGACTCACTTCCTCCAGCAAGGCCACACACAACCCTTCAAATACTGCTCCCCTCTGGTGACGAAGCATTCAAATCTGTGAATCTATGGGGGCTCCTCACTTTCCAACGACACAGGCTTATTCCTCTTGTCACCCGTACCAGTGTGCTTTGGTGGCCTCAGTGTTAAAATCTAGTAATAACAGATAGGGTGGAGCATGTTGTGTTTATGACTCCGTTCTTCAATACTTAAGATGTTTTTAAGCAGTGAGATTCGAATTGAACATCTGATGACCCTTAGGGCTCTTCACACCCTCTTCCTTGTCTGGTTTGACCATTTTCACTGAACAAGTGAGGGAACCATCTTGGTCAAACATAGAAAATACACCTTCTAGCAGTATTTTCCAGCTCATCCTGAAACCCCGGCATTTCTGGAGTGCCTCCGCTCCATTCCGGACCCCTCTCAGTCCAAGAGGCTCTGTGTGCTGGCCCTGTACCTCCTGCTAGAGTCTGTAGTTCCTGCCTTGGTGTCAGCTCTGATTTTTCCCAGGGACTGAGGCTGTACCGCTCCCTTGGAGAGCGGAGAGGGATCCTACTTCCTGGAGCAGCGCGCTACCCCAGAGGCCAAGACAAGCCGCTAGGATGTGCTGGGCTATGTAGAAAAGCACAGTTGCTTTGGATTTTAGAACATCCTGCCAGGCAGCAGATGCTAGCCCAGGCGTGCTCCCGGTCAGGCCCGAAAAGGCTGGTGTCAGCTGCTAATCTGCTGCCTCCTCTGGTCCCCTGACTCGATCCTTCTGTGCCGTCTGCTGCAGAAACAGCCAAGAGACTTGGGGTCCGTCAGAACTGTGCCCCGTGAACACATTTTCTTAGAGAAATGTGCTGACCTACTTCCTGAGTGGGTAGCAGATGTGTGTCACGGAGTGAGGAGGGACTTGACGGTGAGCAGGAATGGCCTGATTGGGCCAGGCCTGCAGAGTGCTCCTCACCTCCCTCCCCAGCTGCTGGAGACTCGGGGCCATCCATGAGGGAGCTGCTGGAGGAGGGTCGGTGCCCCGACTGTGAGGTCCACATTCATGCCTCAGGGGCTCAGGACCAGAAACACAATGAGAACTGGCTTGCCTTTCTGGAACGATGGGGTACTGCGTGTTCTTGATGTCTTCCTGCGCTTCAGATGCTAACACCCCCCACCCACCCCCGCCCAGATGAGGTCTCCCTGGTGATCTGCTCCCTCCGTGGTTCCTACCTTACTCCATCCATACTTTTTGAACAGGCTAGGGGTGGAACTCCAGTAATATCAGCAGGTGTCAGGCCCAGCTGTTTGGTCTGCTGTGTGTATGTATATGTGTGTGTGTATCTGTGTGTGTGTATGTATATGTGTGTGTGTATGTGTGTGTGTCTGTCTGTCTCGTGGTTAACCTCAGTCACCAGAGCCATGTTGAGGAGAAGCTGGAGGAGTTGTGAGCAGAGGGGAGAGGTGTAGGAGCCAACCCTGATGGCGTAGATTTCTGGAGGGCCCTAGGAGGAGCAAGTGTCAGCTAGCCACATGCAAGGGGTCTGAAGAGAGAGGTGTAGGCAGGCACATGTATGGAAAGCAGCCTTGCTGAGCACAGGCTTCTGAGGTTCTCATTACCACATGCCCAGCTCTCCTGAGGCGGCAGAGGTCTCTTCTACAAGGCAGCTCTTATGGTGTGGGTTGACTGTGTAAGACTGGCCTGTTGAGTTGTTGAGTTGTGTTAGGTGTGGGGTATGCATTTTCACGGATGTGTCAAGTTCCCACTGTGTGACGTCATCGCCGGTGTTTCCCACTGTTGATGGCAGTGTGGTATCTGGCTTGAGGCTGTGTGAAGAATGCTGCCATACAAGTGTGCATTCACCTGGCCTGTTGTCCAACCATGGTCTCCGGCCATCATTCCCACCAATGAGGAACAGGTGTCCCCTCATTCCACATCCGTTTCTCAGTTACATCAGCTGCTGAGGAGGATGGGCACTTTTCAGATGGTCGCTGGCATTGACTTGCTCCTTTGTGAAGGGTTTCTTCTGTTTCCGCTCTTGTAGCCTGAGAAGTCTACCTCTTCCCTAGTTAACAGGAATACTCTGTCTTCTGGAGGCTGGAAATTGAGGATATATTTAAAAACAGAGTTTTCCAGGAAGGCTTGAGAATGGCTCCTGGCCGCAGGATGCTCCCTTCTGAGGAGCATCTATCCTGTGTGGCTCAGAGCCATGCTGTCCCTTTGTCCCACTGAAAAGTCGTTATTTTGGCCTGGGTTGTCACTGACCCCTGCTGCTGCCCTCTCTTGGACATAGTTCCTGTGACAAAGCGGAAGCCAGGATGTAGGTGAGTGGAGGCACAGTCAGTCACGTGAGTGTCCGTTCCCGTTGGTACTGTGCCCCGCCCCCCCCTGCATAGCACTGGTCTGTGATAAACTGGCATCCACCCCAGCACCATACTTTTTGTTTTATAACATCAAATCTGATTTGTTAAAGAGTTTTTTAAATTCCAGCAATGCACAAATGATAGGGTGGGCACTCTTCGTTATCTCAGTAATTCTTTTTATTGAAAAAAAGGTTTTAATTTTTGTTAATGTGTCCGTGTGCGCGTGCCCATGTGTGTGTGTGTGCGCGCGCGCGTGTGCCTGTGTGTGTGCGTGTATGTGTGTGTGTGTGTGTGTGTGTGTGTGTATGTGTGTGTGTACACGCGCGCGCATGTGTGCCACAGGAATGTGGGGGCCCATGGAGGCCTCTGGAGCTGGGGTTACAGGTGTTTGTGAGCAGCTTAATATAGGTGCTGGGGACTGAACTGGGGTCTCCCGGAAGAGCAGAAAGTGATCTTCACCACGGAGCCATCTCTCCAGCCCCTCTGTAATTAGGTTTCGTTGAGCGGACTCCAACTGAAGGCTAAGAGGCTGGATCTGAGTATAACACCAGTCTGTTTGTGATATACTGTGTTCTGATTATCTCTTGTTGAAGAAAACAAACCCCAAACTTAAAATGAGTCTGGGGTTTAAGCAAAGCATGCTGGGGCCAGCTGGTGTGTCTTGACCCTCATAGCTCTAGGAGTACAGTTTGACTTGAGCCGGAGACCTACGTAGGACAGCTCACACAGAGATGGCTGGCCCTGATGCCATCCACGGAGAGCTTACCTGAGACTGTCAAGGGCATGCAGGCCCAATTTTGTCCCTGTTGATCTCACCCCAGAGCTGCTCAGTCTTCCTCACAGCTTGGCAGCCGGCTTCCCAGAACAAGCATTCAAGGGGCATCACAAGTTGCCCATTTCCAGAGACCCAGGCCCAGACATTAGCCTAGTGCTGCCGTGCTCTGTGGATGGCAGATGTCATAGACCACCCAGACTCGGAGGGAAAGAGCACACGCACAGAGCCCCTCGAGGCCCTGGCTCTGCGTCTCCCCTCCCCGCTGACAGCCCCCCCTCTTCCCCTCCCCCCAGCCCTGACTGCTGCTGCCGGGAGAGGAAAGCTGGAGGTCTGCGAGCTGCTGCTGGAGCATGGAGCTGCTGTGTCTCGGGCCAACAGGAGAGGGGTCCCCCCTCTGTTTTGTGCAGCCCGCCAAGGGCATTGGCAGGTACCTGGGGGCCCCTAGATGCTTCAGGAACAATGGGTGGGGCTGGGATTCATTGCTGAGAGCACTTGTAACCCTTGAGGCTCTGTCCCATCCCTGGCTTCTCCCTCTACCGTCATGACTGCTCCTCAGAGGCCAATATGACGGACAGGTAGAGTCAGCGAGGCGGACGGGCTGGCCAGAAGACTGGCCACGCCACAGACACACAGTAGTTCCCTTAACTCCAGGAGGATTGGATTAGAGTGCTACAAGATCCACCGTGGCATATCCGCTGCTGTTGTTCTTTGTAGCCTGTCCGTACAACATATTTGAATTATAGCTGCCAGGCTGCTTCTTGGAAGAACCATTCTTACACCATCTTTAATGCAAGGGAGCAGCAGGGCATCGCTGGCCCTCAGCTTCTGCCTTCGTTGTGAAACAGTGACCACATCTCGGCTCATACTCGGTGCCATGGTTGCGCCTGCATTGTACACACACACAGCTTCAGGACCACTCATACAGTGACTAACCCTCTGCCTGCCTCAGCGTCTCCTAACTGACAAGGAAGGGGGAGGGGACTTGCTGGTGCGCGAAGTGAAAGCAGAGGGAACATGCCACTCCGTCACTGGCATTGAAGCAGGTGACGTGCCTGGGTAACCTGGGCCGACCCAGTGGATAAAGTGGCTTCCTCCAGCACAAGGACTGCATTCGACTCCTGCCTGTGTTTCTGATTTTTCTCCCCAACCTCACTAGTGTGCATGGTGTAAAGCATATTGCTGATGCTGAGAATTCACTTCGAGAAGCTTTGCTCAGAGTTGCCCTCTGAGAAGGACAAGCCACCCCTTGGTGCCACATCTCGGCAAAGCTTGTTAACTGAGGGTGCAGAGTCGCTCTCCTGCCTTAGACCCTTCTCTTGTGACTATAGTTCGTCCCCTTTCAGTTTGTCCACAGATGTCAAATCTAAGGACACTCAAGTCCCTTATAATGGCACGGTACTTGCATTCAGTCCGTAGATTGAATGCCATTAGTTGGTTAAATCTATTGCTTCAGAACCCTAGATGCAGAGGGCACTGTCCTTGTCTTCAGGACCAGTTTGGAACCTTAATGGCAACTGCCGGCCCCTTTCCATCCTGAGTTAGCCCCGCCTTTTCTCAATGTGACTGTCCTACCATCACCTAATTGTGACTGGCATGCCTCATTACCAATTCTACCTGGTATGCGTGATTTTGTACATATAACAACTGGGCACACTAAAAGAATATAGAGAAAAAGATTTTGCTGAAAGGAATACAGTAGAAAGATTGTTTGGCCCCTACATATCACATATCGAGTGGGAAGGATGGAGAAACGGGCTGGGTATAGAGACTGAGGCTGTAAGCGCAGCAGGGGACTGATTCTCAGTGCCTCTTTCAGATTGTCAGATTGCTTTTGGAACATGGCTGCGATGTGAACCTGAGTGACAAGCAGGGCCGGACACCTCTCATGGTGGCTGCCTGTGAAGGACACCTGAGCACTGTGGAGTTCCTCCTCTCAAAAGGTATGGTGTGTTGCAGTACGCTGGCTGCTTTGGCAGAGACCCACTAGTACTTTGGGCTTCCCCATGAGTCTTTTCGTCCTGTGGCTTTTCTAAGGCATGATGCAGCCTGGGGGCTTATCATTCAGCCTTGGTGAGACCCTCTGGCCATCACACCTGCTCAGGCTGATACACTCCCAGGCGGGCATCCAGATGGTGGGACCCTCAGCAGCCCAGGTTTATTCAGGTTCTAAGATAGCCAATTAAAAGAACCAAATTAGAAGTAAAAGGCAGAAAAAGGAAATCTACTCGGTGTGGCCACATTGGGAAAGGTCCAGCAGCCTCCTCAAGTCTGTCTTGGGGTCCTGAAGTGAAATCAATGTTTAATGTAAGGGCCAAGGATACGAACATCTAAGTAGTTCGGTTGAGGTGTGGTCCCGCATGCCACTGGCCCATCATTGTCTGGGCTTCCATCTTGTCCTGTTAGGTGGTCTAGCAAGTTGTTAAAACTGGGAGAGTTCTTCGTGGGAGACAAGTTCTCCCTCGGGCTGGTGCGGTTTCCTTCTCTCAGCATGAGATTCTTAGGGGAAAATCTCATTCTTTGGGGTCCATTTTTCAACAGTCTGATAGTGAGATTGGGAAACCCAGGTATCTTTTAGGACACCTTCATTTCTGCCAACCAGTTATAAATGGACTCTTCTCTCAGGCGCTGCTCTTTCTTCCCTGGACAAAGAGGGCCTGTCAGCATTGAGTTGGGCATGTCTGAAGGGTCACAGGGCCGTGGTCCAGTACCTGGTTGAAGAAGGAGCAGAGATAGATCAGACGGACAAAAATGGCCGTACTCCCTTGGACCTGGCCGCCTTCTATGGTGACGCAGAGACGGTGGGTACTAACGGATGTTCACTTCCGGTGTGGGCGCCTTCCCGTGTGCAGGATGGGTCAGATGTAGCGAGGTGCTTGCTCTGAGGCACAGGCTCTGTGAAGCCATCTGTAGACTGTGGCCTCTGTGTACACACACACACACACACACACACACACACACACACACACACACATGCACACACGGTATATGGGATCTTTTCAATTGTCTATAACTCTGTTACGTGCAGTCCAACCCAAGACTGTTAGTCAGGGTTTTAATGTGCTCTTTAAAGCCTGAAAGTCCTACCCCTACCAACTGCATGTACTGCAGACATGGAGTTGAACATGGATGCCCAATTCAAAACTTTATTTTTATCATGTGATGCATATAAATAAAATTCCTACATAAGTCATTCAGAAACCACTTCCCCTTAAGAAAAATTATTAATTAAGGGAATAGTTAGTTCATAATATACTAATTGTTTTAAATTATTTCTAGTTATAATTTTCATTTGGAAACTGAGAACTGGGAGATGTCTTCCAGGGCAGATGCCATGCTCTGTCAGCATGCGCATTCCAGACCTCTGCAGGCACCAGGGCATTGCTGAGCTATCTGGGAGTCTGCTTTCTTAGTCCTGTGCATCTGATGAGAGGATGAGCCAGAGAGACAGACACATGTAGTGCTGTGGAAAGGCGGTGACCTGGGGCCAGAATTTTATTCATGCGTTCAGGCATCAGTAGAAATATCTTAAAGGCCCCCCTCTCAGTCTTTATGGCTCCATGCTCAGAAATGCCCTTGCAAGGTCATAGGGTAATCCTTTGTTTTTTAAAGATAACATCTCACACAGCCCAGCCTGGCCTCCAGCTCCCCACTGTAGCCAAGGTTGGCTTTGCACTTCTGACCCTCCCCACTCTACCTTCCAGATACTCTGACGGCAGATATGCACGCCACTATCCTTGGCAGTAATTCTGTTTTTAAAGCTCCCTAAGGACGGCTCACCACCACACAGCCCCTCTCCACTCCCGTCCACGAGTGGGAGCTTGCATTTCCATCATGAGGCTCCAGCGTCTTGACGTCATCGTTATCACCCTCCCCCACTCTTAGAAAATACAGCCCTGTGAGTGTGGGTTGATACCACACCATGGCTTTGATTTTCATTTCTCTGACAACAAGGGACTTAACATCTATTTCACGTGCTTGCTGGGTCTCCTCTTGGGAGAAATGTCTATTGAAGAAGTCCCTCACCCACGTGTTGGTTTGGTTTTATGGTTGGTGTAGCTCTTTCATATTCTAGACAGTAACTTTGCTAGTGTCCTTTTGAACACCCAGCGGATTTATTGGTAGGAAACACGTCCTGTTGCAGACACACAACCATCTAAGCTGGACAGAAGTTTCTTTTCTAGTAAGTGGAAAATTTGGAGTGGCCAAGGTAGTTTTTGTTCTTGGCATTTCCCGTGTCAGTGCACACACAGCTGTTTCCTCATCCCCAGCCTTGATGCGGTGACCTCAGACACCCCGACTTCACAGTCCTGACAGTGTCACCCCTTTCTCAAACCCTGAAGTGACTGACTCTGGCCCCTCTGGTTCCAGGCTGCTCACATCTGCAGCTTGTCCTCTCACGCTGTGTGAGTCTGTGTCTGGAGCATGCCAAAGGCCACAGCAGCAGCCTCCCTGCTAGTCGCAGGTGAAACGGTGACCGTGAGTCTTGTCTGTGGCCGTTGAAGTGGGGTCAGACACAGATCCTGTACGTGGGCTCACACCTGTCTGTACCCGTCGGCTTGCCTCCCTCGTCACTGACAGCAGAGAGAGTCTAGCCATGGCTGTAGCCCCTTTCCGCGGTGTCCATTGACACACACCCACGCCTCCCCCCCACCCCACCCCACCCGCAGTGACCGCTCCTGCCAGGGACTGTTCCTCAGGCCTGTGCTGTCCCTGCTGCTCTAGGTGCTGTATCTGGTGGAGAAGGGAGCCGTGATCGAGCACGTGGACCACAGTGGGATGCGCCCCCTGGACAGAGCCATTGGATGTCGAAACACTGCGGTGGTGGTTACACTGCTTAGAAAGGGAGCCAAACTAGGTCAGTGAACCCCACTCCGGGTCAGCGGGTCAGCGGGGCCTTTCCTGAAAGGACTGAAGATTACCTGCTGGCGGCTGGCAGCGTGTGTGTGTGTGTGTGTGTGTGTGTGTGTGTGTGTGTGTGTGTGTGTGTGTGTGTGTGTGTGCGCGTGTGTGTGCGCGTGTGTGTGCGCGTGTGTGTGCGCGTGTGTGCGTGCTCGTGCTCTCCCCCCTCCCTCCTGCTCTGCTCTGTCTCATGTCTCATTTAATCCCAGTCATCCTGTAAACTGAAATTGCTTTTGAGTTTCTCGTTTAAAATTACATTTTATTCTGTGTGTGAACACAAGCTATATACAGAGGTTATATACCCTTTTAGCATGTAACATCCTCTCCTGGTAGGCAGAGAGCAGAGGCTAAGGGGGAGGGACACTCACACCAGGAAGTGTTAACATCTTCCTTGTTTACTGCTGTGATGAGAACATGGCCAAGGCAACTAAGCAAGGAAGAGAATTCAGAGGGGGAGTCCGTGACCATCATGGCGGGGAGCATGGCAGCAGGCAGGCGTGGCGCTAGAGCAGTAGCTGAGAGCTGACATCAGTAGCATGAGACAGAGAGATAACTGGGAATGGTGTGGGCTTTTGAAGCCTCCAAGCTCACCCCTGAGACACACCTCCTCCCACAAGACCACACCTCCTGATCCTACCCAAACAGTTCCACCAGCTGGGGCCCAACCATTCAAATATATGAGCCTATAAGAGCCGTTCTCATTCAGACCACTGCGATCGGACTCTGCTGCACTTGCAGGTGGGCTGAGCATGCGCAGCTCAGAATGCCCTGGATGGTTCTGTAGAACAAGCTGCTGTTCTAGAGTTATCATGAAAGCTTGACACGAAGTTCTGACCCCGGTGCACACAATCGCTGTGAAGGAGACACTGAGGAGAGAGTGGCCTTGGCCAAGGGTTGTGTGGAGGCCCACGTATGTGGCTAGTAGAGCCTCACGTAAATTCGGCATGTATGCAGGGAAGAACCGCAGGGCCCGTTTGGATTTGCTACCCAGGCCCTTTGACCATGAGCAGGTCTGGGTACAGGGGGGCCGCATGGAAAACGGTTTTTCCCAGTGTTTGACCGGTTTCCCTTTTTACCTTGATCCTGTATGTAGGTAGTGGTGATGCCGTCTTTGTACTTGAAACCAAACACAAAACACGGGGTGCTCCGTGGCCCCCAAGGTCATAGTACGTGGCAGAGCTGTATGTGTGTGACGGGCTAGAGATGAGGCTAGAGCCAGACCAAAAGAGAAGCTGGACAGGGACCGGGCAGGGGACCCAAGCTAGGACCTCGGAGTGGACTGCGGTCAGAGTGCAGGGACCTTGGGGACACCAGCTTCCCACCCCTGCCGTACTGGGTGCTGCAGGGCGCAAGGAGGGTGCCCTTAAGGGCCTCCTTGCTTTTCTGGACTCCTCCTCAGGTGAAGGTGAGCACCTTTGTTTCCAGTGTTAGTGGAGCGATAAGATAGCTTTTGTGGGCGCTGATGATTCCTCCACAGGGCTTGCCGGGGCATAAAATAGTTGAGAAGCTTAAACCAGCTTGCTAGAGTCCCGCTGCGGGGAACTGCCTTGCAGCGAGTTCCTGCAGCTGGTCCTGTCGAGCGTCGGGCTGCAGAAGGAACCTGCCTCCTCCGGGCCGAGGAAGCACCTCTGACTGCGTGTTTATTTTGCAGGAAATGCCGCTTGGGCGATGGCCACATCCAAACCTGATATTTTGATTATACTTTTACAGAAATTGATGGAGGAAGGAAATGTGATGTACAAGGTAAGAAGCTTCGTCCCTTTCTGGGCTGCTGTTGTTGACTTGGGACCACCCCTGAGTTTGGTGTTGGATGCTGCAGCCATGCTTCTGTCAGAGAGTGTAACTTTGCAAGGACGGAAGTTCCAAAACTTTCCCACCTGACCTCTCGCCCGGGAGCCTGTTAATCTCCAAACAGCAGACTCTTAATGGGAGAGCACTTCTCTTGGTGGTTGAGAACAATTGTTGGTGATACTCGCGGCGCTGGCTGTGACTTCCTGTCTGAGCCACTGCTAGGTCGGCTGGCATGTCCCACGGGAAGGTCCCTAGGCTTCCCCGCCTGTCAAATTTCCAAGCATGGCACTGGACCTCGTCACGAGGTACATGGCAAAAGCCACCAAGGAGCATTTGTAGAAGAAGAGAATGTTTCAGGGGACAGGAGGAGGATGACACAGTGGCTAGTTGTTGGCTGCCGACCTTGGCAGCCCCTCGGCATCCTAGACACCCCCCCACCCCCAGAAGGAGAGGACGGAATCCTACACATTGTCCTCTGACTCCCACGTGCACCTGTGGTGTGTGCGTGTGCCTACACAATACGTGCCAAGTACATCAGTGTATTTGAAAAGGAAATTAAAAGAACCATCCAGTGTTCCCCTCTCACCCCCGGCCTTTCACTTTCCAGTTCTTAATTCTCTAAATTTAGGGATTTTAAGTGTTTTTAGTGATATTTTTATTGAATGTGGCCAAGTAACACGCTCTCAGTTTCTCAAAAGATAGGTTTTTTTTTTTTTCTCAGTTTCCCTCAGAAATGGAAATAAAACCTACAGATTCATAAACTTGACTTTCAATTCTCCCGGAGGAGCTACCCGTTTAGATCCATGGTGGGTAGCTCTGGTTAATGCATGCAGCTTTGCAGTCTCTCCAGACCGGTCGGCCACTGCTGATCTGTACGCACAGACGAGGCAGCGTGGCTGTGCCCCAGGAAAAGCGTAAATCTGTGTCTGTGGCCGCGGCCTGGCTTGGGAGGTGTGGAGGCCCTTTACATAGGTTACTGCTCCTTCCAGACCTGTAATTAGGTAGAATTAAGATTCCGGGGGGGGGGGGGGGGGCGAGATCGTGAGTACGTTTTCCTTTCCACTGCTCGGCAGCTTCATCTGCTGTGTTTTTCATTTATTTCCTTTTTGTTGTGTTTTTTTTTTTTTTTTCATAGTAACAAATAACTAGGCATGCAGCATGACCCAGCAGGGTTCCCAGCTTGGAGTCGGTTGGAAATTGAGTTCAGGGTGTATATTGTTGTGGCTTTGAAGTGGTTTTAATGGGGGTTCTGCTAGGTAATTATGTCAGAAATATCAAGCCATTTCCAACAGGCTGCCGCTCCTGCTGTGCAGTGGGCTGCCTGAGCAAATGGATTTCCTCAGCCTGGGGAGGGGTGGGCTGGGGCTCCGGTTTTTGAAGTCAGTTCTTCAGCGCTTCTAAAAGAAGCATTATTATTATTCTACAGCAAGCTGCAGTTTATCCGAGAGGCACTAGCTGCCTTAGAAACTACAGCATTTTTTTTCATCAGGTTTCTATTATACTTGAAATTAAAATATATTTCAGCAAAACATGGTTCTTGAAATAACACAGAGATTACATGCGAGAAGATAATTTGATGGGTGAAGGATGGGGAGTTCGTGATTTCGCAGTTTACAAACATTGTTCTTGTTCAGCCATCTTTCTCCTTGCTGGGTGATTACATGTGAAGTCGGTGCGGCCTGATCATGTTCAGACTAGTCTGTCTCCTGGTTCCTACTAAGACACCTACCCATCTGGATCCTTCTCCTGGGCCCTGATGATTTTACATGACGTTCTTCAGCACGGTGGTTCATCTGAGAACCCCTGGGAAAGGTTAACTTTATGTGGGTTTTGAATCCTAGAAAGGGAAGATGAAGGAGGCGGCCCAGAGGTACCAGTATGCCTTAAGGAAGTTCCCTCGGGAAGGATTCGGAGAAGACATGAGGCCGTTCAATGAACTGAGAGTCTCCCTGTATCTCAATCTGTCTCGATGCCGGAGGAAAACAAACGTAAGCCAGAGTTGTTATCCCCACCCCGTTCATTTGTTAGCAGCAGGGGACGGCCATCCCCTAGGCTCAGTCTTGGGACTGCCAACCTGACTGGGGTGCTGTGGGGACCTGGGGCTCTCAGGGACCTCTTACAGGTCCAGGTCACAGCCACTGCCCACCTCCCAAAATGCTGGTGGATGCACTGACGTTGAACTTCCTTTGCTTCAGTGAAAGCAGCAAATGCCAGCTGCGCCCCCTCTCCCCCGGCTGGAATGCCACCAGTGCTGTGAATGATCAAGAAAAAGTCCAACAGTCAGCCTCTCACAGTCAACCTGCCCTGGGGCCGTTTTCTCAGAGGACCTGTTTAGTAAACACTCAATTGATGACCAGTAGTGGTTAACTTGTAGTTTGTTACTAGTAGATGTTTTGTAGTTCTTCCTCCTGATGTTTTGAACGGCGGCATCCTCCCCTCCCCTCCCCCCACTCCCACCGGTGTAACTCACCTGCCCCGGGGGCCGCACCACATGAGAGAGCAGAAGGATGCAGCCCTGCACACAGACACCCACAGACTGCTCCGCTCCTGGCCTGGACCCTCTCCTGCCCCCTCTGCCTTCTGTGCCCTGTTACCCCTGCCCTCTCCTGAGTCATAATTGCTGCTTCTGTGCTGGATTCTTAAGAATAGTCATATGCTCCGATTATCCAACTTTAAACAAGCAGACGGGGAAATGCATCTTGCCCTGCACCCCCAGACGCCCCCCCCCTCCCCCGGTCCCAGTGCTCTGTTGCCCTTAGAGCAGAGCTCCTAGGAGACAGACCCTTTTCTAGGCGCTACCTCTGACTCGTGTGTTTAACTGTTGACTCCAGGACTTTGGCTTGGCAGAGGAATTTGCTTCGAAGGCTCTGGAATTGAAACCCAAGTCCTATGAAGCCTTTTATGCCCGGGCAAGAGCCAAAAGGAACAGCAGGTACTGTCTGGGGTCACCCACGTGACTGCGGGAGCCTAGATGAGTGTGAGGGTATTCCTTCCTCAGGGTTGTTACTCAGACAATCCCCATCCCTTTTAACAGGGACCAGTAGCTTCCAAGAGCGCGGTAGTGGGTGGTACTAGCGGCTACCCTTTCGTTTTCCTGGCATTCTGGTGTCTTCCCCACCATACCCCAGCACAGAACACCTGCTGAGGTCTGGTTTCAGGGAGACTGACAAGTCGGGGTGGAACGGGAGCGGAAGAGGGTTATGTCTGACCTCTGAGTTAGAAGGGGGGGACATGATGAGGTCCGAAGAAGATAACATGAGCAGGATTCTGGCACCCTCTGTCTGCGGGTCTGTACAGATAGATCAGGGGCGCGGAGTCACAAAGCAGCCCTGGAGGGCAGCACTGGACTTGGCCCCGCATCTCTGGGCCAACCAGGACTCCCCCACCTCAGCCAGTGCTTGAACCTCGCTCTTTCCCCTTTGAGGACGGCTAGCGTAAGGACGGTTCCATCCTGAGCATGCTCCTATGTGGCGTCTAATCACATCTTCTGCTTCCATATGAAGGCAGTTCCTGGCAGCTCTGGCAGACCTGCAGGAGGCCGTGAAACTCTGTCCCACCAACCAAGAAATCAAGAGGCTTCTGGCCCGCGTGGAGGAAGAGTGTAAACAGCTCCAGAGGAGCCAGCAGCAAAAACAGCAGGGTCCCCTGCCAGCTCCGTCCAATGACTCGGACAATGAAGAGGATGCGCCAGCCTCCAGTGTAAAGGACCACTTCCCCATCGAGGAGGCAGAAGAGGAAGAAACGTCTTCACAGGAAGAACCCATGTCCCCAACTCCCAGATCCCAGCCACCGCTGCCGCCATCTGCCCCTTCCCCGTATATCCGCAACCTTCAAGAGGGCTTACAGTCCAAAGGCAGGCCAGTGTCACCACAGAGCAGGACAGGAATCAGCAAGTCCCTGAGAGAGACTGTAGCTCAGCCAGGCTTGGTTATGCAGCCGACCAAACAGGCACAGATAGTGAAGACCAGCCAACATCTGGGTTCTGGGCAATCGAGCATGAGAAACAGCAGCGCAAAAATACAAGTCTCTTCCCAGAACCCTCCCCCAAGTCCGATGCCTGGTAGAATATCCGTGGCCCCTGCGGGGAGCAGAAACCAGCATTTAGAGGGAACGGGTCCCTTCACTGCAGGAACTGGTTGTGGCCACTTTGCGGATCGGCTGGGCCCCAGCCAGAACCTCCAGCTGCAGCGCAGTGAGAGCGGAACTGCGTACCCTCTACCAAGCAAAATCAAAGCCGCCGAGCGCCTCTTGGCTCATGCCTCCATGACTGTGGATGTAGCTCCTCCTCCGAGCCAGGGTGGACCGGCGGCGGCGGTGGCGAGCTGCGGTGGCGGCGATGTGCGACACCCCGCTTCCCTCGCCAGCTCGGGCTCTTCTGGCTCGCCGTCTAGCAGCATCAAGATGTCAAGTTCCACCAGTAGTTTGACTTCAAGCAGTAGTTTTTCAGATGGATTCAAGGCCCAAGGCCCAGACTCTCGAATCAAAGACAAGGGCACCAGCCAGGTGCCGGGCGGCACCACTGAACACAGGCCCCGCCATACTCCCTTCATGGGCATCATGGACAAGACCGCCAGGTTTCAGCAGCAGAGCAATCCTCCGGGTCGCTCCTGGCACTGCCAGGTGCCAGAGGGGCTTCTGACAAACACAGCCACTGCAGCTGGCCTGCAGCCCAACCCCGACAAGCCCACTCTCAAGCCAGGAGGCTACTGTAGCCAAGCCAAACCTTGCTCAGTTTCCCCGCTGGGCACGGGTGTCCCCAACGGGGCACAGGCGAAGGAGCCGGAGGAGAGTAAGTGCCAAATCCCAGCCCTCTGTCAAGACAGCCGGAAAACTAAGGGTGTGCCTCACCTGTACCAGGAAAGCATCTCGAAGCAGCCGCCTCACGTCGGCACGGAAGCTCACAGGAGCCACCTCACCTCAGCGAAACCAAAGCGATCGTTCATAGAGTCAAATGTGTGAGCCTTACGCTGTCCGCATGTGGTAGTATCGAGTGCCGTCTCTTGGCTTGGGTAGCGAATAATGTCTTTTTTTTTTTTTTTCTTTTCATAATAAGAATTACATTTTAGCCATATTCTCCACCTCTGGGGTGGATCTGATGCCATTGACATATTAAAAATGTAGCGTAAAACTATAGTGCATAGCTAGAAATCGCCCACCAACAGGAATGCTAAGCAGAATTAAAAACTACCCTCGGCTTCTACCTGTCAATTTAAAGGCTGCCAAGAAGATATCACCTGATGCTGTTCTCTTAGGAGAGGTTTGGTTTGCTGTGCACAAAAGCACATTTACTTAGAGAAGAAAGAAACACCCACTGGTAAAAGATTTTAATTCCCGACATAATACCTGGAAGTGTATTCTGGGAAAGATGGGGGAATGTTCGAGAAGTTACAGATCCCTTTAGTCACACCCCAGTTCTTACATATGTATAAACGTTGCAACCTGAGTGCTTTCTGGCCAGCTATAATAATAAATGTGACTGTAAACAGCAGGTTTTTTCCTGTTACTGAAATACGAGCACACCCAAGTATCATTCCCATCATGGCAGTTACTCAAAGGGGATCACACATTTACTTCCATGTTAATGGTCTTTTTTGCAGAGTATTTTTATAGCCCTTTTTTTTTTTTTTTTTTTTTTTGGTTTTTCGAGACAGGGTTTCTCTGTGTAGCTTTGCGCCTTTCCTGGAGCTCACTTGGTAGCCCAGGCTGGCCTCGAACTCACAGAGATCCGCCTGCCTCTGCCTCCCGAGTGCTGGGATTAAAGGCGTGCGCCACCAACGCCCGGCCCTTTTTTTTTTTAATATATTCATGCTTCATGGCGTTGCTGATAGAAGGGAAAGGCTATCTAGACTTCTGGTTGGTAACCGGGTCAGATACTTTTGTGCAAAAGTACCAAGACAAGCACTCTTGGTGATGCCGACAGCTTAGCTCTAACTGGTTCCAAAGGCGCTCTGGACAGCGGTGGCGCAAGTCCCGGAAACAAGCCTCCGATGTCCTCTAGGGACAGTTTACACAGGACCCTGGAGGTCTGGGGGGGTTGGTTGTTTTCATCATGCCGTCATTATCTCGCAGTCACATGTTGTATATAGAAACAGCTAGCCCGGTTTTATTCAGGCTTGTACATATAACTCAGAAGAAGTTACTCTGAAGACAAACCACAGAACCCTGCCATCCATCTGCATGTTCTCTGTAAGCTCCATCCGTGCTGGTCACTGCACTGAACAATGCGCTCTCGTGGCATGTTAACAGGATACTCCTAACGGCACTTTATCTCGTTGTCTGAACACCTCTGAGGTGCTATTCATCTGTAAAGATAAGGTACACGGATGAACCTTGGCTTATGGTATTTTTATATAAAAATGGTGTTATTGGAGGATGTTCAAATGCTGGTGTGAGAGAGATTGGGGGGGAGTATTTTATATGTTGAGATGTGAAATGTATTTTCCAGACCTGGGGAGAAGGAAGTTCTATATTTGCAGAATGTTTTAAAAAGGAGTAGCCATGATGTTCATGTGAACATCACTAAGGTTTTGTACGAATAGGAACCTTGCAGTGTCCTTCGGCATATGTTCCTGTGTGTGTAGCGTGCTTTGTACAAAAGCTAGGCCATTTGTATGAGCTTTCTCTGAGCTCTGCTCTAATTCCTATGGCTATTTATTGTTTTCTTTAATATTTGTGAAAGTCTCTCTCTTTGGTTATGTAGTTTTGTTTCTGCACATCTACTGTACTTCTCCATATGGAATAAAAACCATTACTACAAGTGGGTTGGCATTCATTGATAGAGCTAAGTAGACAGTAGACCTCCTCAACAGCTACCTGCCTCGTTTTAATGGTACCCTAAAGGGTGAAAAACACTTTGGGTTTTGTTTGTTAAGACAGGGTTTCTCTGTGTACTTTTGATGCCTGTCCTGGATCTCGCTCTGTAGACCAGGCTGGCCTCGAACTCGGAGATCTGCCTAGCTCTGCCTCCCGAGTGCTGGGATTAAAGGAGTGCGCCACCACCGCCCAGCCTGAAAAACACTTTTAATATAGCAACAAACACGTTTCATCTTCATTCCACAATAAAGTAGAAGCTTCTAGAAATTCCAGAGTCCTCTAGCATCATAATTGGTGATTTTTCTGTCAATAGGGAAGAAGCATGAGGAACAGGAATGTGTACTAATGGGCTGGCTGGCAGCAGGTGATCTGTAACATGGACTGGCAGTGCCCTGTGCTCCGTTAGAGGGCAGAACTCTCTGAACAGCTCAGGGGCTGGAGAGATGGCTTGGCCAGAAGACCCGGCTTCAACTCCCAGCACCCACATGGCAGCTCACAACTGTCTGTAACTCCAAGATCTGACACCCTCACACAGCCATACATGCAGACAAAACACCAGTGCACATAAAAAAATAAAGAACGGCTGGTTCTTTTAGCACATTTGCACTATTCTTCACTTAAAAGGGTCTTTCTGTCTTCACACCCACAGACTTGTTTCAGAGCAGTCAAGAGTGAGATTGTTTTTGTTGTATCATGATACACGGTTCTTACTTGAAATATTTGTTTATGTATTTTTAACTTAAAATTTTTTGAGACTTTTCCATATGCATACTGTATTCATATTTCCACAGCTTCCTGTGCCCATCCAACTCCCCCCCCCCGTCACCCCCATGCCCTCTCACACTCATGACCCTTCCGTCGTTACACATGCACACGCGCACACACACACACACACACACACACACACAATCTACTGAGTCCAGTTATTGTTGCTTGTATGGACATGCATTTAGGACTGGATAACCTATTGGGGGCTTGCCCCTTGAGAAGATTAATTCTTCTCTCGGCAGCCACTAATTGTCTGTAGTTCTTCATCTAGTGGTGGGGACTCTGAGATTTCCCTCATCCTTGTTGGCTTATTTCTATTTTTTTCCAAGTAGTACTTTTTATATCTATGTAAGATGATTGTTTTTTACATCCCAACCACAGTTCCCCCTCCTTCCTCTCCTCCCAGTCCCTCCCCCAGCCTCCTCTCCACCCCTCACGAGCCCAGGTCAGTTGGTTCTGTGGGTTTTCTTGTGGTGTCCTTGACCCCTCTGGCTCCTACAATCTTCCTCCCCCTCTTCAACAGGATTCTGAGCTCTGCCTACTATTTGGCTGTGGGTCTTTGTATCTGTTTCCATCAGTTGCTGGCTGAAGCCTCTCTGATGACACTCGGGCTAGGCACCAATCTGAGTACAGTAGCTAAGACTCCTAGCCGTGGGGGATACAGAGCCTGAACCGGCCATCTCCTGTGACCAGGCAAGACTTCCAGTGAAGGGATTGGGACACCAGCCCAGCCACAAAACCTTCGACCTGCAGTTTGTCCTGCCTACGATAGGTGTTGGGAAAAGGTGGCACACAACCAGCAACTGGTTGGTCCAGCTTTAGACCCACGCCACGAGGAGCCCACCCACCCCTGACACTGCCTGGAGGGCCAGGACCCAGAGGCTGGAGGGCCCAGAGACCTAGGACAGAACCAAACACGACTGGGGTGTGTGTGTGTGTATGTGAATGAAATGATCCCTAATGATTCTCTGCTATACACAAATACTTTTTAAAAATGCTTTTCTTGAGAATTTCATGTATGCATACAAGGAAATATGACCATAGCCCCAATTTCCTTCCTCCAGTCTCCCCATATCCCTATCAATATGTACTGTCCCAGCTCCATGGTTTTGTTTTTACTGGCCCATTAAATCCAGTTCACACTGCGTATTATGTGCGTGGGTGTGGGCCTTACTTGAGCAAGGGGATCTACCTGTGGGGACTCCTCCCAAAAGATGGACTCTCTCCCCTGGCCGCCATCACCTGCCCGGAAAGACTGACTTTGGATCTGAAGCTTAGTAACTAGTTTAGGTCCCTGCCTTGTTCCTGATGTTGCGGAAGCCTGACTGTTTCTAGTCCTCAGCACTGTTTCCAGGCCAACACAGAAGAATGGGACGGGAAGGCCAGGGGAGTGCTGAGGAGTGCCTAGCTCCCGTCTGGACCACCCTGGACAGCCGCCAGTGTGTGAGGACTGCCGGAGTTGCTGTTCTGATTTCAGTCTTGATAAAGACAAGACATGCTCATTATCCAGGCAAGAAGTGAAATCCGGGGAAGCTGCAGGTCAGAGGGCACTGGACACTGCTCCCACCTCCTCCTGAACCAACCCCTGGGCCACAGCGTCCCAGCGGGGTGGGGGCGGGGGGTGGGCGGAGGATGTCTTGAAGAGGGGGTTGTTTGGCAAAGTCGGTTTAGATAAAAAGCCAACACTTGGAAAATTAGTAGTTTTCAGGTATTTTGCTTTATAAGAAATCTTAACACATCTATTTTACTTTGTGTGTCTGGGTATTTTGCCTGCGTGCCTGGTGCCATGGATCCCCTGGAAGTTACAGTTGTGAGCCACCACATGGGTGCTGGGAATTGAACCTGGGTCCTCTAGAGGAACAGCCAATGCTCCTAACCACTAAGCCATTTCTCTATCCCCACACATTTAAAAATAACTTAAACTGCCTTTTCTAGCCAGTGACTTCCAGTGATTGTTAACTTTTAAGTGAAAAGCTAGCCAGCAAATCTCCTACTTTATAAAAACAAACAATACAGAGATACTTGGTTTAATGGTGGTTCCCTTCTAAGTTAAAGAACAATTGGAAATGATAGCATAATTTCTGTATAGATTTCAATTTAAAGCACCACTTTGTGGAACTCATTTTCACGTTTTGCCCACAATGAAACTGTAAATTGTGTAGAATAAAATATATTCCTTTCTGCAATAAAAGATGGAGGGGTCTACCTGTGAAACAAAAGAAATACAGTTTGGTATCTGTTTAAAAAGTCCCAAAGCAGTGGTTACAAAAAAAGGACAGCTAGATCTGGCAGTGTTCTGTAAAGGAACTTACGCATTATATGTTTATGAAACAGGAGAAAGTAAAAGGTGTATTTACGTTGTTTCTCTCTCTCTCTCTCTCTCTCTCTCTCTCTCTCTCTCTCTCTCTCTCTCTCTCTCTCTTTTTTTTTTTTTTTTGAGGCAGGGTCTCTCTGTGTAGCCCTGACTGGCCTGGAACTCAGAGATCCACCTGCCTTTGCCGACAAGTGCTGGGATTAAGGGCATGTGCCACCACTGTCAGGCATTTTTAAAAATTTCTAAGTGGTATTTTATTTATGCACAGCAGCCTGGGACAATCTTGTGATTAAATGTCCACAGTGCTTTTCATTCACAAAATAGTTATTTATATGAGCATTGTTTATAAATTCATTCTGTTTGCCATGTGTATTTCTGGTACTTGTGAAGGCCAGAAGAGGGCGCTTGATTCCCAGGACCTGGAGTGACAGGGTTGTGAGTCACATGTGGGCTCTGGGAATTGAACCCCAGTCACCTGGAAGAGCAGCCTAAGAATGCTTAACTGCTGGGCCACCTCTCCAGCCCCTCATTTACAAAAGTTTTTATTTTCGTCTTTTCTGTGGTGCTCCATGAATGATGGAACACCTTTCCACTGAGCTACGAGGCTTTTAAAAATTCATTAATAAGTTTGTATGTTCCTCGTGTTTTCATGTTGTTTGAGACAAGGTCTCACTCTGTGGTGCAGGCTGCTCTGGCATTCTTGGGGTAGACAGGCTGGTTGCAAATACATGGGAACTTACCCACCTGCCTTAGCCTACTGAGTGCTAATGGCTTGAGCCTCTAACAAATTGTTTCTGCTTTTATGAGTAGGGAATGGGCATGCATCCAGTGATAGCCTACAACTCAGTATGAACCCTGCTGACTTCCAACTAGTGATACTGTATCCTTAACATCCTCGTGTATGACCAAGCCTGACAGCCAAGGTCTGAAACATTCGCACTGGATAAGACAAGCATGGCTATATGTATGTCATCTGAAGCTGCATATCATCCCTGCAGGGTGCATGTGAGTATATGTATGTCATCTGAAGCTGCATACCATACCTGCAGGTTGTATGTGAGTATATATATGTCATCTGAAGCTGCATACCATCCCTGCAGGTTGCATGTGAGTAGTCCCAGTGGTGTCTGCAGGGGGTGCCCGACCTCTAGGAGGCCAGGCAGTGCCTGTAGCCTCTAGAATGATACGATTCTCCATTGCTTTCCTTAACATTTATTTTTGTTTGCTTGGTTGATTTTGTGTTTAGTTTTATTATGAGACAGGCTATCAAGTGTCCCAGGCTAGCCTGTAACAGGCCATATAGCTGAAGGTGACCTTGAACTTCAGGGTCCTCCTGAATTGGAGGTAAAACACCATGACTCACCTGTGCCAGAAAGTCTGAAAACCTTTGGCATCAAACACACTCTTTTCTAAAACTGGCTTCCAGTCTGGATCAGATTCCTGAATCCCTGCCTATAACATCTACATAGTGTCCCAAACCAGCCTTAGCTCTGAGTGAAAATAAATAAATAAAAAAGAAAGGGCATGACCACTTGTAGGTATGGCGGAGGGGAAAGTTTATTATAGAGATGTGGGGGAGCATAGTCAAGGGCAGGGACATCTGGGAGGGTCCCCAGTAGACAGGACAAGCCTGAGCTGTGAGTGGGGAAGAGAGGGAGGAACCGGGTGCAGCAGCCAGGAGGCCAGGAGGCCAAAAGGCAGGTAACCAAAATGTCTGGATTATATGGAGAAGAGCCTCTGGGCGAAGGGCAGCCCAGGCCCCGGGCCAGAGAGTTCAGGGTAGGGGTTAGGGTTTGCCAGCCGTACCCTGTAACTGAGGGATGCTGGGGGAACCTGGTGGTCAGGTCTGCTCTGATATATTAAATAGGCACGTTTGGTCCCAGGTTTGAAATTTAACAGTTTCTAGTTCCTGGGGTCTCATTTCTTCTTCTGACTTCCTAAGGTACCAGGCACTCATATGGTGCAAATATACAAGTGCAGGAAAAAATTAAACACATGAAATCAAATCAAATCATTTTTTGTTTTTGAAAACGGTGGTCCCTCCCTCTGTAACCCTGCCTGGCCTAGAACTCACTCCAGCCAGCCTCCAGCTCACAGATTCACCTGCTGCAAGGGACAAGGCCTTACCACCACACCCAAGTTAAACAAAACCTTAAAAATTATCTTAAAAAGCCAGAAATACCAGTCTGAAGTGAACGAACCATGGAAAGAAAAAAATAACGGAAGTTTGATTAGGTCACTCAGAGATATCGGTAATTTAGGAGGCTGGGGCAGGGTTTGATGACACAGTCTTGTCATTTCAGCTTTCGGGAGGCAGAAGCAGGAGAATTGCAAGTTTTAACCAACCTCCGCCACATGGCCAGTGCAGGACCAATCTAGACAACAGAGCAAAAGTCAGTCTCCAAAAAACGAAACCATAAATTAACAGACTTAAAAAAAAAACATTTGAGATGAAGGCAAATCTACAGTAGACAAGAAACCAGGCTCTGTGATGGTGAACATGTTTACAAGTTTAAGATGACTGTGCTTACGAGAACAAACTATAAAACAGAAATGCCTCTAACCTGTGAGTCCCACCTGGCCGAGGACGGACCACTTCCCAGAGTGCTGGGGGCTGTTCCTGTCATTGCCTGGTCTTACACAAACCTTGTGTTTTCCCTTCTGTAAACAAGCTTGCTTGCCTCTGACTCCACGTAGGCAGGAAGTGTGCCTGACTGCATGTACACAGGAAATACATCAGGATATGTGCTTGCCCCTGGTTGCATGAATGCAGGAAGTCCATGCCTTGTGAATTTTGTCTTTATAAAACCCTGATTAATGTAATTGGGTGCTGCATCTTGAAAGAGCTCTCTGATGCAGTCCTGGTACCATGTGTATCTGGTGCCAGTACTGTTATGGTCTGGGGTTGTTCAGAGATTCGCCAGTCTGACCAAGAATACATTTTAGTAAATAAGAGGCTTTATGAAATACTGACTAGGCCATGGACACGGGCCAGGTCCATACCGGGATTCCCAGAGTATGGCCTATTTCTTAATTCTAATGTTCTTGGATACTCTGTGAGTGTTTGGGGGCCTGAGTGAACAGGACAAAGGCTAAAGACACAGTGTTCTGCTCCCTGCCCTGGTAGTCAGGCTCCGCTCTGGGAAACAGCTTTGGGCAGGCATCTGAGAGGTCAGTGCAGACTCCTTCCTGAACTTCAGGTCCTGTGTGACGGAGGCAGACACAGTGCTGGTGATGTCGCAGGTGCCAGGCTAGCTGCCTGGACACACGTTCTCACACTGGGAGGAAGTCTGGCACTTGATATATTTCAGCAAAGTTAAAGTGACTAGCCGAGCTCCTTTACATCTGAGGTTGAATAATGAGGGAAAAAATCCTTATATTATACAAAGTTAGAACCCAACAAAATTTCTTTTCTTTTTTTTTTTTTTTTTTTTTTTTTTTTTTTTTTTTTTTTGGTTTTTCGAGACAGGGTTTCTCTGTGTAGCTTTGCGCCTTTCCTGGAGCTCACTTGGTAGCCCAGGCTGGCCTCGAACTCACAAGAGATCCGCCTGGCTCTGCCTCCCGAGTGCTGGGATTAAAGGCGTGCGCCACCAACGCCCGGCCCAACAAAATTTCTATTCAACATGCCTGGAGTAATTTTTTTCCAATTTATTAAGCAATTTACAATTATAGTGTGAAAATTCTATTCTAAAGCTCTCTGAAAACTATTAAATGGCTGTTATCCAAGATGGAAACAACCATAGAATCTAGACTACTCCAGGATGAGGCCTACACCTAGTAACACAGTTAGGCATTGCAATTTAAAGTCTCGGCAAAGTTTTATTTCTACACATTTCCCCATTAGTGCAAAAATATTTTCACTTTTATAGAAACAGCAATGACATTAGATATATAATTCTGTGTTTTAAGGGTGATTTACAGTTTTAAAAGTAACTGAATTTCACATCTTTTCCTATTTGCTTTTGTAATGCCTGGTCAGCGCTGAATGACCTCACTGGAAAATGTATCCGATACCCTATGAACGATTCATTTCTGATGTGTCTCTAGCCATCGATTGATGGCCATTTTCAGAGTCCTGTTTGGTGTCAGTACCAGCGAAGGAAGGACCAGGTTTGTCATGGGGCTTGTGCGTTTCTTTTTGTGGATCCAGCTTTCCATGGCTTCTCTCTCATAGGAATAGCCATCTAGAAAAAAAACACATTGCTTCAGGTAAGGAAGGGGAATTAGGATTAGTACAGGAACTGCAGTGTACGAACCAGGGTACCTATAGGATCAGTACAGGAATTGTAGTGTACAAACCAGGGTAAAGGATTAGTACATAAAACTGCAGTGTACGAACCAGGGTATCTGTAGGATTAGTACATGAACTCAGTGTACGAACCAGGGTATCTATTGGGAGTTAATGGTCTTCTTGCTTTGCCTGCACCATGTCCAAAATAGCCCAGCCATAGCAGCTGGCTCGTACCCCGAAGGTATACTAAGCTTGGATTGTGCTCTGCTGAAATACAACAGCTGAGACCAGAGCTGTGTTGAAACTCAGAAACTGTGGTTGAGAAGAGGGCAGGAGTGGTGTGAAGACAAATTCTGGAAGAGATGAGGGAGGAAAAGGCCTTAGGAAGAACTCACGGAAACCCTTCGAGGTGTCGAAGAGCAAGAGTTAAAGACGACAGAATATGGCCAGAGAGAGATGGCGCGGAGGAAAATCGCTACCGTCTCATGCCATGCTTGTGCTAAACTGCTTTGTCACACATTGACGACCGAGGTGGGCGAAGGGCCGCGAACCTGTGAGGCCGGCACTCAGGAGGAGGCCGGTGAGATCTGCTGCTCTCGGACGTTCATTGCTGAACTTGGACCGTTTGTACCCAGCCTGAAATGCTTGCTTCTCTCTCACTGTTGACAACAGGGCCCTGAACTTGCCATCCTCCTGCCTTCCCCAGGGGAACGTTACGAGTCTCGCACCACCCTGCCTGGCTTCGGCTGTGATGGCGTCTTTGTTGGCCCTTCAGCTCTGCCTGGCTGGTAACACTCTACTGTGTAACTGTGCGCTGTATGTATCCCTTCCGCAGACGGAAGCACGCAGACGGTTTCCACGTGGGCGTTCTCAATGCTGCACTCTGTGCCCAGCCTCTCCCATGAACTGGACACACACACACACACCTAGGGGTTAGAACTATGTTGTAAGTTTCTAGGAAACTGCCAAGTTAGTTTCAACAACAGCCAGAGCATTTTAAATTCTCACCGACATAAGATTCCAATTTCCGTCCATCTTTTATTTTCCCCAACTTTCTGGGACTAAGCCACCAGTTAACATGACTGCTGTGTGGCCTTGAGCTGTACAGAGCACTGATGACTATAATGATACCGTGCATACTGCCCAGCTGTAAAGCAGTTTATTCTAACTGTGCCTTTTTTTCAGTCAGGATTTCACTGTGTAGCCCACACTGACCTGACTTGCAGCAATGCTCCTGCCTCCCCACTGGAATTACAGGTGTGCACAACCATACCCGTCCAAGTCACATGCACTGAAAACCCACTCATCTACGCACCTGCTCCAAAGCTGGACAGTCGCGGGACACAAAGCCAAGAAACCAAGCCCAATCCCATTCCCAAATACACATGCAATAAAAAGTGTAAAACCACAGTATGAGAAAATACAAAGTAATCTTAACAAAAGAAAAAATATGCAAAATCTATGAGCAAAACAGTGCTGGAGAGAGAAAAGACCCGTGTTAACTGGCAAGTGATGTTCCCAGTCCCTCTCCGGATTAGACACCATCCTCGTGAAAACCCCAGCAAGCTGCTGCCGTGAAGAAAGCCAGGTGATGTCCGAGGGTAGGAACCAAACCTGCAGACTCATTGGCCTGACTCGAGACCCGCTGTAAAGCAGCAGCGGTCACGGGCTGAGTGACTCGGGATTGGACATAAAGATGACATGGAGCCTGGGAGTGAGCCTTCCGTGGCCGTGACTCGCTTCAGTGAGGAGGGACTTGTTAATGGGTGAAGCTGAGCTAACAGGAATCCACCTCTTACCGTATGCAAACATGAGCCTGAAATAAGCCATAGGCCTAAAAACCAATGTGTCTGGAGTAACATGGTGAGTCCTGGAGCCTTGGCCAGGCAGCCTTCTTAGGATTAAAAAAGGATGAATCCACATGAAAATGGTCCAGTGGACCCCATCAAAATTAAACATGTTTTTCAAAGATGCCGTAGAGAAAATGCATACAATGCATTGCCTGATAAAAGACACACTTTGTTTCAATACAAAGTGAAGGGTTGGAGGGTATGTATTATGAAAGATCTAATATAATATCTAAGACGCATACTGAAAGATGCTTCATTGTAGTGAGGATTAAAAGTACAATGAGATAGCACTTCATACCTGTTATTCAGGATTAGAACAACTAACAATACCATGTTTGCAAATATGGGCAGAAACTGGAATTCTCAGTTATGAGCTTGAAAAACATTTCAGCAGTTTTAAATGCACTTTGTAAACAATCCAGAAATTCCACTCCTAAGTATTTCATCATGAGACATGAGTGCTGTCCAGCAGATCGGTGGATGGAATGTCAGGACAGCGTTCAGACATGCGAGCCCGTTGCCGGTTAATGGACAATGTATGTGGTATATATCTAGTGCAATGCAACACTATTCAGCAATAAAAAGGAATGGACTGGGGCTGGAGAGATGGCTCAGAGGTTATGAGCACTGGCTGCTCTTCCAGAGGTCCTGAGTTCAATTCCCAGCACCTACATGGCCGCTCACAGCTGTCTGTAACTCCAGTTCCAGGGGAGCTGACTGCTGCACGAAGTAGGAATGAAGTAGGAAGTCAGCTGACTGTGACAAAGCTAGACCTGGAAGAAGCCAGGGCCTTTCCAGAGGATGAGGCCAGCGCTCAAGGAGTCTTGGTGATACTGGCGTTTGATTATTAGCTGTTTCCTGCTATGAATTTCTCGTGTGCTAGTGTGGCTTTTCCATTATTCATTGGGCACAATTTCCCCTATACACTTAAAGTATTTGTATAACTTTCTCCAACTGTGCTATGACAGACAGACAAAAATCCCTAATTTCAGGCTTTTCTGTAATTATCAACATTAGCAGCATCCGGCCAGGACCATTCCTAGACAAACAAAAGTATCTGAGATACCTCCCAGATTCTCTAAGAACAAACTTAAGCATCCAGAGTATCTGTTTGAGAAGCCCTTGTGGATGTGCTTATTAAGCTTAACTCTCTCCTTTCCAAATTCTTCTCTCTAGTTTTAGACCCACCCTCCACAATTAACTCAAAACTAAAGGGTTCCTTCTTACAGGTACATCTACCTGTTACGGAAGTTGCCTAGCCATCAAACACACTTCTCCCACCCGGCCAGAAAATGGCAAGAGCAGAGATAGCTTGGAGAGATAAAGGCCAAAGGGATAAAAGATAGTTTTATTTTCAGAGCAAGGATGGAGAAGAAAAAAGAGAATGGAAGAACTAGATGGGAAAGAACTGGAAGGGAACGAACTGAGATGGGAAGAACTAGAAGGACGAGATGGAAGATGAGGAAGACCACAGTGGGGCAGAACTAGATGAAGGAGTCAGGTGCACTTAGAGGGAACAGCAGAGAGAGGTAGAATGAGGCACGAAAGGAGCTAAGTGTGAGAGCAGAAGAGAAGCTGGGTAGAGAGAGAACTGACTCAGGAAAACGAAGTGAATGGACTACAGAATTCCGTGTGCGTAGATTTATTAGAGAACCCTCAGGTTAATCTGCTACCAGGAGCGTCTCTTCTGGAACTAGGGTGAAGGCTATCGTGGGGCTGGACCCTGAAAGCTTTTGATATCTCACACCTTCACATCAATGCACATAAAATAGAGCTAAATAAATTTTATATAAAAAGAATTAATTACTAATGTGTGCAACAAGGTAATCAAAAACATTCTGCTGAGCATGTCTGAATACTGATGCAGAAACTGGTATCAAATGTTCCAACTTCATAATTTTTAAATTCTTGTTTCTGAATCATTTAAATTCATGATAGACACGCCGGGCGGTGGTGGCGCACGCCTTTAATCCCAGCACTCGGGAGGCAGAGGCAGGCGGATCTCTGTGAGTTCGAGGCCAGCCTGGTCTACCAAGT